TAAAGGTAACTAACAGGTAAATATAAATTTTTTTTTTTGCTTGTAACTCTTTTTTTTTAATCCTATCTGATTTAAAAGACAACTGCATAAAGCAGTAATTACAAATCTGTGTTGATGGGCATACAGTGTATAAAGTTATAAGGTATATGACAATAACAGCACAAAGAGGGGGGAGGAAATGGAGCTATATAGGAGCAAAGTTTTGTACACTATTGAAATAAGTTGGTATTAATCAGAACTAGATTATTATAAATTAAGATGTTAATTGTGATCCCAAGGCAACTACTAATAACTCAAAAACATATATAGTAAAAGAACAAGGGAATTAAAATGGTACGCTAGAAAATATCTATTTTACACAATAGATATGTGTTAAAAATATCCATTTAACACAAAAGAAGGCAGTAATGGAGGAATAGAGGAATGGAAAAAACATAAGACATATAGAAAACAAATAGCAAAATGGCAGTAAATACTACCTGATCAGTAATTATATTAAATGTAAATGGATGAAACACTACAATTAAAAAGAAATTGGCACAATGAATTAAAAAAAAAACAAACAAACCATGATCCAACTATATGCTGTCTAAAAGAGACATACTTTAGATTCAAAACCATAAATAGGTTGACGCTCTAAGAATGGAAAAAGATACACAATGAAAACAGTAATCAAAATAGAGCTGGAAGGGCTATACTAATATCAGACAAAATAAACTTTAAAACAAAATTAAAGAGACAAAAGATGGACATTTTATAATGATAAAAGTGTCAATGCATCAAGATGATATAATAATTATAAGCATATATGCACCTAACAACAAAGACCCAAAATACATAAAGCAAAACTGACAGAATTGAAGGGCGAAATAGAAAATTCAACAGTAATAACTGAAGACTTCAATAACCCATTTCTTTTTTTTTTTAATTGTGCTTTAGGTGAAGGTTTACAGAACAAATTAGTTTCCCATTCAATAGTTTATACACAAATTGTTCCATAACATTGGTTGTAATCCCTGCAATGTATCAGCACTCTCCCCATTACCACCCTGAGTTCCTCATTTCCATTTGTCTGGTTTTCCTGCCCCTTTCTCCCTTCTCATATTTGATTTTTAGCATATGTTGTCCTTTTGGTCTCATGTAGATGATTGTTCTAAGGAGTACTTTCCTCACATGTGTTACAATAACTTATTTTTAATAATGGATAGAATAACTTGACAGATCAACAAGGAAATAAAAGATGGTAACAATACTATAAACCAACTAGACCTAACAGCCATCTATGGAATACTCCATGCAACAACAGCAGAGTACACATTCTTCTCAAGCGCACATGGAACATTCTCCAGAACAGACTATATGTCAGGCCATAAAAAAGTTTAATAAATTTAGAAGAATTGAAATCATATAAAGCATGTTCTCCAACCATAATGGAATGAAATTCAATAAGGGAAAGAAATCTGGGAAATTCACAAATCTGTGGAAACTAAACAACACTCTCCTAAATAACCAATAGATCAAAGGGGAAATTAGAAAATACTTTGACACGAATGAGAACAAAAACATGACATATCAGAACTTAGGGATGCAGCTAAAGCAGTACTTAGAGGGAAAATTTTAGCAGTACTTAGAGGGAAATTTATAGCTGTAAATGCCAATATTAAAAAAGAAGATCTCCAAACCTTCCAACTCAAGCAACTAGAAAAAGAAGACCAAAGTAAAGTTAAAGCAAACAGAAGGAAGGAAATAATAAATATTAGAGCAGAAATTAATAAAATAGAGAATAGAAGAACAATAGAGAAAATCAATGAAACCAAAACTTGGTTCTTTGAAAATATCATAATTCACAAACTTTTAGCTAACGTGACCAAGAAAAAAGAAGACTCAAAATATGGAAATCAGAAATGAAAGAGAGAACATTCCTACTGACCTCACAGAAATAAAAAGTATTATAAAAGAATACTATAAATAACTGTATGGCAACAAATTAGATAACCTAGATGAAATGGACAAATTCCTAGAAAGACTACTGAAACTGACTCAGAAAGAAATAGAAAATCTGAACAGACCTTTAACAAGTAAAGAGATTCAATCAGTAATAATAGTAATAAAGACTTCCCACAAAGAAAAGCCCAGAACCAGATGGCTTCACTGGTGAATTCTGCCAAACTTTTAAAGAAGAATTAATACTAATCCTTCACAAACTCTCCCAAAAAAATAGAAGAGGAAGGAACAACTCATTCTACAAAGCGAGTATTACCCTGATACCAAAACCAGATGAAGATATTACCAAAAAGGAAAATTACAGACCATATCCCTTATGAATACAGATGTTATATTCCTCAACAAAATACTAGCAAACAGAATCTAAACCAAAAAACAAACCAGTTGCCATTGAGCTGATTCTGACTCACGATGACCCCATGTGTTGCAGAGTAGAACTGTGCTTCATAGGTTTTCAAGGCTGTGCCCTTTCGGAAGTAGATATCCAGGCCTTTTCCCCAAGGTGCCGCTGGGTGGGTTCAAATCACTAACCTTCTGGTTAGTAGTCAAGTGCTTAACTGTTTGCACCACTCAGGGACTCCTAAACAGAATCTAGTGGCATATAAAAAGAATTATACACCATGAACAAGTGGGACTCATCCCGGGAATTTAAGGTTGGTTCAATATATGAAAATCAATCAATGTAATACACCATATTAATAGAATAAAGGAGAAAACAACATGATCATCTGAATAGACACTGAAAAATCACTTGGCAAAATCCAACACCCTTTTATGATAAAAATCCTCAGCAAACTAGGAATAAAAGATAATTTCCTCAGCCTGATAAAGGACATTTATGAAAAACCCACCGTTAATATAATACATAATGGTGAAAACTTAGCCCCCTAAGACTAGAAACAAGACAAAGATTTCCATTCTCCCACTTCTATTCAACATTGTACTGGAGGTTCTAGCCAGGAAAATTAGGCAAGAAAAAGAAATTAAGTGGCATCCAGATTGAAAAGGAAGAAGTAAAACTATCTCTATTTGTAGATGACATGATCTTGAATAAAGAAAATCCCAAGGAATCCATACACACAAAAGCCAATCTACTAGAGCTAATGTACAAGTTCAGCAAGGTTGTAGGATACAAGATCAATATACAAAAATCAATTATATTTCTAAAAAGTTGAATTGGCAGAAGTTGTGTGTTAGATATATTTACAACAACGATTAAAAAAAAAAGGAGAGTAGCTGCTTATGTACAACCAAACACCTCATGGGATTTGGTTCCTTGGTTTGGAGGTTTAGGGGGTCATGGTTTCATAGGACATCCAAGTTAATTGGCTTAATAACCTGTTTTGCGCTTCTGTTCTACCTGTGTTGTGCTTCTGTTCTACCTCCTAGTTCACTGCATAGCACCTGGGGTCTTAGAAGCTCACAAGCGGCCATCTAAGGCACAATAATTGGTTTCTATTCACCTGGAGCAACAGAGGAAGAAGGAGAGTCAGGAACAGTAGGAAGATATAGAATGTGTGACTAATTGCCTCCATGAACAATTGCCTCCTTTGCCATGAGACCAGAACTGGATGAAGCCCAGCTACCATTACTGAACATTTTGATCAAAGATTCCACAGAAGAATCCTGATCAAAAGGGGGACAATGCAGAACAGAATTTCAAATTCTAATGGACTCGACTTTCTGGAGCCATGGAAGGTGGCTGAACCCCTGAAACTATTGCCCTGAGATAATCTTTAAACCTTAAACAAAAAATATCCCATGAAGTCATCTTAAAACCAAACAATAATTTAGCTTAACTAGTAAAAAAGGTCTGCCTTGAGCATTACACTCTTTTAAGAACTATCTATTTGGTATCAAATTGACAGCAAGTCAAAAGATTAGACAGGAACCTTAGAGGGCAGTGAGTTTATGTTAATGATGGAAGAACAACTCAGAAAATGTCGGTGAGAATGGTGGCACAACTTGAAGAATGTAATCAATGTCACTGAATTGTACACGTAAAAACTGCTGAATTGGTATATGTTTTGCTATGTATATTCTCGACAACAACAACAAAAGAGTGAAGTAGCTGGCATGCCAGTGTGAGAAATCCTATGGTGATTCAAGACCTCTAGGAATCCTGTGGTTCCCAGTAAGTCCCCATGCATACTGCTAACCACTAATGTGTCCATATTTGGTGTAGAATGAAAGGATAATGGTGAGCCGGGCAGCTGGAGGCAGAGAAAATGCCCTGACCTGTGTCACTAGACCTGGGCTAGACTCCAACACTTTGACCCTGAATGAGACACTTAATCCTGAGCCTCACTTTCCTCACCATAAAATCATGTTTTTTGTTTTTTTCTTTTTTTTTTGGAAACCACTGTGCTGATGGAACTCTGGTTCTAATACGTAGCAGAAGCCCCACTGGACATTCATTCAACAGCTACTTCTGCATGTCTGCCAGCACTGTGCTATACACTGGGGACACAGAGAACAACATTCTAGACACCATCCCAGCCCTTAGCAAGCACACAGTCTACTTCCAGGGATTTATTCCCAGGAAGTAATTCTGCAGAATTTTTAGGAAGATGATTTTCAGAATATCTGCAGGAAGATGATCACTGTGGGGATATCTGTAACAACAACAACAAAAACTGGAAACAACCCACACATTTACAAAAGCAGGATGGTTTCATAAAATATGCATCCAAACATATTGATTTAAAAGAATATGCAGTCCACCCACACTTATACCTGGTCAGGATCAGCCTGTCCCTTTTGGAGGTGGTAGTAGGCTGGGAGAGGCTGGTGGCCCTGCCCTGAGGAGGTGGCTATTTGAAGGTTAAGACAAAGGGGTAATGTGATGGTGACGGGTCACAAAGGACAGTGGAGGATAAATGCAGTGGTGCGAGGAGTTTTAGGCAGAAGCCCTGGAGGGAGATGGGCAGTGGCCTTCGCTCCCTCTCTCGGGGACGCGATTTGTGACTGACGGAGCTGTCTTGAAAAAGAGAACTATGAGCAATGAATGTGTCTTACCTTATTACACCGCCCACAGCTACCGTTCAGTGGGTGTGTTCAATACCTCCATGGGGGACCTGCAACGACAACTGTACAAGGGAGGAGAGTATGATATTTTCAAGTATGCACCGATGTTTGAGAGCGACTTTATCCAGATCAGCAAAAAAGGAGAGGTGATTGATGTACACAACCGTGTCCGAATGGTGACCGTGGGCATCGCATCCACCAGCCCCATCCTCCCCATGCCTGACGTCATGCTGCTAGCCCGGCCAGCTAGAGTCTGCGAGGAGCATGCCGGGTACAGCCGGCCCACCAAGGGGAGAGGCCGCAAGGCCACGAAGACCTTTGAGCTCACCAGGCTCCTTCCTTTGAAGTTTGTCAAGATCTCCATCCATGATCGCGAGAAGCAGCAGCTGCGCCTGAAACTTGCCACTGGCCGTACTTTTTACCTGCAGCTGTGTCCCTCTTCAGATGCACGAGAAGACCTCTTTTACTATTGGGAAAAACTAGTTTATCTCCTGAGGCCACCAGTGGAGAGTTATACCAGTACCCAGACCCCCCAAACTGGGGATCTAATGACTGCATCTATGTGTCTGACAGATGACAACAAAAGCATTACGACTGCAGAGCTCTGTGGAGAAGGGGATCAGGATGAGGTCAGGCTTCACAAGCTCCGTGAAGTGTCTGGAGCCACCTCTTCTGCTTATGCTGGGGGAGAGGGAATCCAACAAGCCTTCCATGGAATGCCTCATACACCTTCTGCAAACACGAAACCTCCAGGGCCTGCCACAGGAACAGCAATAGCAGGGACAGCTGCAGGACATACAGCAGGCGCAGCAGTAGCAGGGATGGCTGCAGGACGTACAGCAGGCGCAGCAGTAGCAGGGATGGCTGCAGGACATACAGCAGGCACAGCAGTAGCAGGGACGGCTGCAGGACATACAGCAGGTGAAGCAGTAGCAGGGACAGCTGCAGGACATACAGCAGGTGAAGCAGTAGCAGGGATGGCTACAGGACATACAGCAGGCGCAGCAGTAGCAGGGACGGCTACAGGACATACAGCAGGCGCAGCAGTAGCAGGGATGGCTACAGGACATACAGCAGGTGAAGCAGTAGCAGGGACGGCTGCAGGATGTACAGCAGGCGCTATAGGCATTGCAATCACCAAGTCTTCAGGCCCAGAAAAGGCAAGTGCAGCCCTGGCAGGAGTGGCCACCAATGGTCCAGGAAAAAGGGGATCCAGCAGGGCCATGGCGGGTGCTGTTAACATGTCCTCAGAAGGTGTTGACGTGGTCTTGGTGGGCGCTGCAAGTACATCTGCACAGGGTGGTTCTGCCCTATTGACGATGGCTACCAGTCCCTCCCCAGAGAGCAACATGAGCATGGTTTTTGCAGGAGTAGCCACTACCAACAAGCCTGTTGCAGAAAGCACTGGAGGACCCCTTGTCTCAAACTTGCAGCATGAAGGCTGCATGAGTGAGGGGGATGGGAGCCAGAGGGTCTCCCAGCCCAGTGCTGAAGCCCTGAAGGAAAAAAAGGAAAGAGCAAAGGACAAAAATCCCACTAGGAAAAGTTCCCATCACCACAGGACAGGTAGGGACAAGTCAACCAGGAAATCATCCTCCCACCGGTCCTTAGACAGCCATGGAACCACGAGAGAGGACAAAAAAGAAAAAGTCCACAGCATCCTAAAAGGTAAAGGACACAGGTCCTCCTCTCACAAAAGTGCCAGCTGTAGTCCCACCCCAAAGGAGTCTAGGACAACTCACAAACTGGGGTGGAACCAATCTGCAACGAGCTCAGCTTCCGTAGATAAGAAATCCAGCAGGATTGGCTCTTTCTTCAGGAGCTTCAGAGCCATCCCTGCTTCAAAAACAGCGATGACATCCCACGACAGAGGGGTGGACATAGTGGCCAAGACTGTGGAGAGGCTTAACATCGAGGCCAAGATGGAGAAAGCACAGGATGGCCAGGACCTGGAGATCATGGGTACCATGACATCTGAGACCATGGAGACAATAATCTTTGAAGCCAAATCCATTTAAAAATGAGCCAGAGCAGGAAGCCGCAATGGAGAACAGGGCTCAGGGAAGTATCCCTAGGGAGCCAATTCCATCATTTGTTACTGCAGTTTAAATAAATAATAAAGCCATACAATGCCAAACCAAAAAAAAAAAAAAAAATCAATTATATTTCTATACAGTAGCAATGAGCAAATGGAAAAATGAAATTAAGAAAACAATTCCATTTACAATAGTAGCAAAAGAATAAAATACTTAAATTTAGCAAAAGAAGTATAAGATTTAGACCCTGAAAACTATAAAACATTGTAAAAAAAATTAATGAACTAAATATGTGGAAAGACATCCATGTTCATGGATCAGAAAACTTAATATTATTAAGATGGAAATACATACTCCCTAAATTGGTTTACAGATAGTCTTGGGGGTTCCTCTAGTCTCTACTGGTCCAGTAAGTCTGGCCTTTTTTAGTAATCTGAATTTTATTCTACATTTTTCTCTCATTCTGTCTGGAACCTTCTATCGTGTCCCTGGTCAGAACGGTTGGTAGTGGTAGCCTGGCATCATCTAGTTCTTCTGGTCTCAGGCTAGAAGAGGTCATGGTTCTTGTGGGCTATTAGTCCTGTGGACTAGTTTCTTCAATAGACTCTTAACATAAAAAATATATAGATCAGAAGCAATTATGGCAAAATGTTAATATATGACAAAGTTAGGTGTTGGGTTCATGGGTATTTGTTATCTCATTTTCTCTAATATTTTGAATGCTTAAAGTATTTCATGATACAAATGTAAAAGAAAACTAAGTACCAATACATATCAATTTTAAACTGGCTGAAATTAAAGATTAACAATACCAAGTGCTAGAAAGTATATTGAGTGTCTTAGTTATCCAGTGCTGTTATAACAGAAATACCACAAGTGGGTGGTTTTGGCAAACAGAAATTTATTCTCTCACAGTCTAGGAGGCTAGAAGTCTAAATTCAGGGCACTAGCTCCAGGGGAAGGCTTTCTTTCTGTGTTGGCTCTGGGGGAAGGTCCTTATCATCTATCTTCCCCTGGTCTAGGAGCTTCTCAGCACAGGGACTCCAGGTCCAAAGGATATGCTCTGCTCCCAGCTCTTCTTTCTTGGTGGTATGAGGTCCCTCTCCTCTCTGCTTGATTCTTGCATATCTCAAAAGAGATTGACTCAAGATACAACTAATCCTGCAGATTGAGTCTTGCCTCATTAACATAACTGTCTCGATATCCTGCCTCATTAACATCACAGAAGTAGGATTTACAACACATAGGAAAATCACATCAGATCACAAAATGGTGGACAACCACACAATACTGGGAATCATGGCCTAGCCAAGTCGACACAAATTTTTTGAGGACACAATTCAACCCATAACATTGAGTAACTGACTCTCTGGAAAATGGTTTGGCATTTCCTTATAAATTTAAACATATATGACCCAGCCATTTTACTCTTAGGTATTTTACCCAAGTGAAATGAAAACATATGTCCACACGAAGACTTGTTCACAGGAACTTTATTCACAATAGCCAAAATATGGAAGCAGCACAAATATACATCAACAGGTGAATGGATAAATAAATTGTGATATACTCATTAATAAAAAGCACTGAACTACTGACACATGTGGCATGGATGAATCTCAAAAAACCTGTTGAGTGAAAAAAGCAAGATGCAAAAGAGTAGATACTGTATGATTCCATTTATATGAAACTTTAGAAAAGACAATAGTGACAGAAAGCAGATCAGTAGTTGCCTGTGATGGTGCAGGGAAAATGTTGTCTGGGAAGGGCACCAGAGAACTTTTTGGGGGGTAATGGAAATGCCTTGATTGGGTTAGTGGTCATACATGTGTATGCATTTATCAAAACTCAACAAAATGTATACTTAAAATTGGTTCATTTGATTGTATGTAAAGTATACTTTCACAAAACTTTTTTTTTAAAGGAAAACAGAATGCATGGGAAATATTTGAGAGACTTGTATTAGGCCTTATGCAACTGCCTCTAGTGATTGGGGTGAGGGGGCGAGAGAGGTGCGATGTGGCCTATACCGGAGGCTGTACGAAGGATAAGACTTGGGGTTTATTTTTTAAGGACAGGGGAGATATGGATCATGTTTACAGCATGTGAGGAAGAAGTCTGTTGAAGGAGAGAAGGAAAACACGAGAGATATTAGGGAAATAAAGAAAGATCTCATAGATTCTGGGAAGATGGTGGTGTAAACAAACCATTGTTATGGCCCTCCCCCACAAATACAGTAAGAAATACAACAAGGAAATGGTGCTCGGCTTTGAGGGATTCTGAATCGGGGAGCAGTGGAAATCAGTGGGGAACTGCAGACAGAGAAGAATAAACAAATCAACAAGTCACATACAGTAAGGAAAATTACTTCTTCCACCATCCCTGCCCCACCCCCAGCCACGCAGGCCACCGGCTGCTGTGAACGGGGGTAGTGGCGCCAGAAAAAGAATCTGTTTCCCTGACCACCACAGCCCCTGCCTGTACAAAGAAACAAGACCCCAAGCTTCTGCCCTAAAATCAACAAGGCAGACTACCCTGGGGACCCATCTGGGGTGTACCCGCACCACCCCCACTGAGACACTGCTGGTTGCAAGCCTACTGTAAATTGCTACAGAAGGCCCATGCAGCAGAGTCTGCTCTCATAGTCAACACTCTCTACCTGCCTCCCTGCGCACTCCATAGCTTAGGCCTCTGAAACCAACAGGACAGATCTCCCAGAAAGTCTGTTCTGGTCTGTCTGCTCCCTCTTTCAGTCAGTGCTAAGGACTGATGACTGAGGCTGCTATGCGCTAAGAAGTAGGCATCTCTAGTGGAGGCTACAACCACAGCCAACATACTCCAGGGAATGCTTTGATAGCAATAAGGCAGACCTCCCTGGGGGTCCGTTTGGAGTGTGACAGACGCTCTCCCACACAGACACTGTCACCTGCAAGCCTGCTGTGAACTGCTACAGAAGGGTCTTGCAGTGGAGTCTGCTCCCATAGCCACCACTCTACCTGCCTCCCTGTGCACCCCATAGCTCTGAAACCAATACGCAAACTTCCCTGGGGGTCAATTAGGGCTAGTCTGCCTCCACTTCCAGTTGGTGCTGAGGACTTATACTGAGGCTGCTATGTGTTAGGAAGCAGGAGTCTTGAGTGGAGGCTGCACTCACAGCCAACAATCTACTGGAGGGATTCTGACAGCAACAAGGCAGACCTCTATGGGGATCTGACCAGAAAGTGAAACCCCCTCTCCCACCTGGTAATTGTTGTTTGACAGGCTGTTGCAAACTGCTACAGAAGGCCCCCACAGTGGAGTCAGCTTCCGTAGTAAACACTCTGCCTCCCTCCCTGTGCATCACATAGCTCAGGCCTCTGAAACCAACAGGATATACCTCCCTGGGGATCAGGTTGGGTTTGTCTACTCTCCCTTACAGTTGGCGCTGAGGACTGCTGACAGAGGCTGCTGTATGCTAGGAAGCAAGTACCTTGATTAGACACTACACCCACAGCCAACATAACTACGGGGTGGACTCTGATAGCAACAATGCAGACCTTCCTGTGAGTCCATTCAGAATGTGACTACCCCTCCCCCAACCAGTAGCTGTCAGCTGCTGGACTGATACAAACTCCCTCCAGTGGAGTCAGCAGGTGGGTCACCTAAGTGGAGACTGCTCCCCCAAGTACCACAGGGCCACTGGGGCTCTGAAACCAAAAAGACAAGTCTCTCAGAGGTCCTTCTGGGGAGTGCCAGCCTCTCCTCCTGAAATAGAGGAGAATCTGCTTGTGCTTCCCATGAATACCAGCAAAGATATAAGCAGCTACCACAGAGCAGGGAAGGAAATCTTGGGCAAAACCAGAGGGCAACACCCAGCCCTGGATGGGGCTCGCTAGGTGTTATGGATTGAATTGTGTCTCCCGCAAAATGTGTGTCAACTTGGCTAGACCATGATTCCCAGTATTGTGTGATTGTCCACCACTTCGTCATCTGATTTTCCTATGTGTTGTAAATCCTACCTCTATGATGTTAATGAAGCAGGATTAGAGGCAGTTATGTTAATGAGGCAGGACTCAATCTATAAGATTAGGTTGTATCTTCCCTCAGTCTCTTTTGAGATACAAAAGAGAGAAGCTAGCAGAGAGACAGGGGGGCCTCATACTACCAAGAAAGCAGCACTGGGAGCAGAGTGTGTCCTTTGGACCCAGGGTTCCTGTGCTGAGACCCTCCCAGGCCAGGGGAATATTGATGACAAGGACCTTCCTCCAGAGCCAACAGAAAGAGAAAGTCTTCCCCTGGAGCTGGCACTCTGAATTTGGACTTCTAGCCTCCTAAATGGTGAGAGAATAAATTTCTCTTTGTGAAAGCCACCCACTTGTGGTATTTCTGTTATAGCAGCACTAGATAGCTAAGACACTGAGTGTGGGTTTTCTGACTAAAAACAGGATTGCAGAAACAGAGAAGGGAAGGCAGTAATAACCAGAGAGAGGGGACTGTGCCCCCTGGTGGAAAGACTGATTAGTACATAGTCTCTTGCCTGAGTGATGGTGCCCGCTGGTGGACAGGCTGACTACAGTGTGTTCTCTGGTATGCTGGGAAGAGATTGAAAGTTGAAAAACAAGATCTGGAACTTTCGAATCACAATTAAACCAGGGAGGGAGAAGGAGCTATCACAGACAGGGAGAGGAAATGGTAAGCAAAGGCCGAAGGCTCTGTCCACCTACAGTTTCTGCAGAAAGTAGTGTGGGCAAAAACAACAAATACTGGGGAAAACTGAGAAAGTTAACACCCTTGAAAATCTCAGCATCCCAACAAAAAAATCACAAGACACACAAAGAACAGAGAAACATGGCCCATCCAAATGAACATGAAAAGGGAGTCACAGCACATCTAGGGATGACCACAATAATAAAAAAAAAAAAGGAAGAATATAATACAATAACATTAAACATAATTAAAGAACTAAGGGAAAACACAGACAAAGAGCTAAAGGAAATAAGGAAAAC